TTTTCAAATTGTCTATAAAAAAAGTTAATCTTGGTATTTGAAATAATTTTGTTTAAAAAAATTTGTATAACTAATATAATTTAAAAAATTATACATTTCATAATTTTTTATTATTTACTTTTTTGTTTAGTAATTTTATTTGTTTAATAATTTTTTCATAAAAAATTTCCCTTTATTGTTTTAATAATTTTCCATAATAATATTTTTAAAAAGTAAGTATAATAATAAATAATAATAGATATAATAACAATAATAAATAAATAAACAAATAATAAATATAATAGTAAACAATAAGAGTAATTGACATTTAATATTTTTGTTCCTCACGTTCATTCCTACTGTACCACGCAAACGGAGCAACCTGTTATGGTCGGCCATGTCCAACTTCTCATATAGAGCTATCAGTTTGATATGTTTCGTAAAACGCGGATTGATATTTACGCCCATAGAAACATCTAATCGTCATAAGAAAATTTGTTTTATATTCTCTATTAAATATTATTTTTCCCTAAATCGCCCTTTTTTTCATTTTCTGTCTGAATTTTTAAAAATTAATTATCAAAGTAAAAAATTACACCAAAAGAGGGGAAGTTTTTGACTTTGATAATTAATTTTGAAAAATTCAGACAGAAAATGAAAAAAAGGGCGATTTAAGGAAAAATAATATTTAATAGAGAATATAATTCAAACTTACTTATGACGATTAGATGTTTCTAGGAGCGTAAATATGAATCCGCGTTTTACAAAACAAAGCAACAGCTCGATGTAGGCCTTTGCCGACCATAACAGGTTGCACCATTTTGTGTTGAAAGTATTTACGCTATGGTAATGTAGGGACGTAGATGATCAACAAAAATAATAAGTCATTACTTTTATTATTTAATATTATATAAACAATTATATTTATTTGTTTATTTATCTATTATTATTTATTATTATTCTTACTTTTTAGAAATATTATAATGGAAAAGTATAAAACAAAGTAATGTAAATTTTTTATGAAAATATTATTAAACATAATTTTTCCCTACTAAAAATAAAATCACAAAACGACAAAAATTTAGTCAGAATCTCTGACGTTTTTAGGCTGCATTTGTTACGATTGCAGCCACAGAACGTCAGGCTTGAGTCATGTTTAATCAGACAGCTTCAAAAGTAGTCAGGTTTTTTTATACAAAGTCGACACCCTTTTTTACCTGGAAAAAGGTCAACTGACCGTCATAAAATTAAAGGGAAATCTTTTTATTTGTTTATATTCATATTTATTTAAACATTATACTTGTTTTTCATCGACTTAGAATTCTTCTCACAATATGTTCTTGTTATATAAACAATAATATATCCTTTAGAACTTAAATTCAAAAATGATATCAGTTTTTATTTATCAATTACGGTTTTCGAGATACGTTACAGTTTTCTTAAAAAAATGTTTTTCAAAATAAATTTTAGATATTTGCAATCGTGAAGATTTCTAGATTCTGAATTTATATTCATTTCACCTGAAATGTTAAAATTGCAAAACTTTTGAGCAATAAAAATCAGGTTGAAGACCCGAAGCACGTAACAATAGACCCAAAATTCTATTGTGAAAAAAGGGCTACGCACAAATTTGAAGTTTTTATGGTACTTTACATTTACCAACTATCTTTCGGTGGGGGACTGTATAAATTAAAAAAATGAATTCAATGAGAAATAATCACAATCCATAAACATCAGTATTCAACAGGAGCATAAAAAATCCTGTAGTCAGAATTAACCAAAAGCATCAGAAAACGTCAAAGTAGTCACAAAACATCAAAATTTCTGACGTTTTTTCATTATTCCTGATTTTATTTTTAGCAGGGTTGTCATAAAATTGGATCTTTTTTATGAAAAAAGTCCTTTTTCTGAAACACGGAGGTACTCAGAATTTATTTCCAATTATGAAAACCATTTTTGTCTTGAGAAAACGACGTTGATGTTTGCAATTTTTTTCTAACAATTTTTGAAGTAGATTATTAAATTTTCGTCTTTTTTCAATACATTGCAGCTTTTTTTTTTATTAAAAAAGGGCATTTTTTGACATTTATTTTTCTAAATAATTTCATATCATAATTTTTATTGATGAAAAATAGAAATACAGAAAAATTAAGATTAAATTTTGATCAGAAACTAAATAAGTAAACAAATAATTTTCCATATAGAAAAATTGAATAACAATGTTATTTTTAGAATTTTCAGTTTAAAAACAAAGATTTTTTTCAAAACAATACTTCTATAGGTAATTATGAAAATCATCGATTTCATTTGGAATTCTTTTCATGGATTTAAAAACATATTTTCTACCAAATTACGCGTGTGTTTCGAAATCCACCAATTTTTAAGAAAAATGATAATTGAAAAAGGGTCAAAATATTTTCTGTCCGCTTTTATTTTATGACCGTTGAATTCCTTATAAAAAATTACTTTAAAACTAATTTTGTGGAATATTTAAATTAGATTTTTCATATACTTAAAAATATCAATAATAAAAATAACCATTAAAAATTTTTAAAATTATACATTTCATAATTTTTTATTATTTACTTTTTTTTTTGTTTAGAAATTTTATTTGTTTAATAATTTTTTCATAAAAAATTTTCCTTTATTGTTTTAATACTTTTCCATAATAATATTTTAAAAAAGTAAGTAAAATAATAAATAATAATAGATATAATAACAATAATAAATAAATAAATAAATAATAAATGTAATAGTAAACAATGAGAGTATAATTGACATTTAATATTTTTGTTCCTTACGTTCATTTCTACTGTACTACGCAAACGATGCAACCTGATATAGTCTGCCATGGCTAACCTCCCATATTGAGCTGTCAGTTTGCTATGTTTTGGAAAACGCGGATTGATATTCACGCCCATAGAAACATCTAATCGTCATAAGAAAACTTGTTGAATATTCTCTATTAAATATTATTTTTCCCTAAATCGCCCTTTTTTTCATTTTCAATCTGGATTTTTTTTAATTAATTATCAAAGTCAAAAAATTTCACCAAGAGGGACGAAAAGAGGGGAAAAGAGTGGAAGTTGAGGAGAAATCGCTCGCTACGCCTATGCGTACTTTTAAATATTTCCCACCGTGCAGCGTCCTTAACTTCTCTTTTCTCTCTAATATAAAATTCTTGAAACCGTTTCTATAATTTTATGGCACGGTCACAGTCACAGATCGGCTGCCTCCCTGCCAGGGTTCCGAAGTTAAGGCGCTCGCACAGCTCTACTGCCTGCCTGCCTGCAGGTTGTCATGGTAACACATAAGAGTAAGAGAGTTAGAAAATTCAAATTAAATGTTTGTTCTCTCTCAGTCTCATTGAGCTTGCCTGCGCAGGCAGGCAGGCAGTAGAGGTGAGAGAGTACCTTTATGCGTAACTTGGAGTTTTCTACGGTAATATACACAGGTATATTACAGTAATTTACTGTAAAATACTATATTATACGTTTTTATACACGTAGAAAACCACGTATATTACCTTGACGTATATTACTTACACTGTAAAAAAATCTGCTGTAAATTTACTATGTCCGACGTTGGAAAGTTTGGTCACTATGTCCGACGTGGTATTTTTACACGCCGACTGTAATCTACATAACCTGCAAATATTTTTTGAAATAATATTTTCAGTCGTAACTTTTTGTATTTATGAAATATAGCCCAAAACTTTTTGTTATATTATTATTTACTTATAAATTAGCATATACTTTCTATAAATGTACATTATATACACTTTTTTAGAGTTATTTATAAAAACTTGAAAATTTTTTGAAAATCTTAAAGGAATAAGAAAATTACATTCGCCATGTAATTGTACAGATCGTGCGACGTAATATTACGTCAAAGTGTAGAAATACACGCAATGTAAAAATACCACGTCGGACATAGTGATCAAATTTTCCTACGTCGGACGTAGTAAATTTACACAAAACTATTAAATTACATAGTCGTATAATGTAAAATTATTAAAAATAGTAAAACTACTTTTGGAACGAAATAAATTTACTACGTACAACCTATAATTTTGATGTGTGAAATTACAAGTTTCGTGTTATTTTACACCAGATTTTTTTACAGTGTACGAACCCTGCTGCCTGCGAGGCAGCCGCCACGAGAGTAAGATAGAGGAGTCAAGTAATTTGAATTGTCTGACTCTCTCACTCTTAGGCTGCGGTTACACCTTTGTAGGCAGCCTGCCTGCCTGCAGGTTGTCATGGTAACGTACAAGAGTAAGAGAGTTAGTGACTTCAAACTTCTCCCTTACTCTCGTTGCTCCTGCCTGCGCAGGCAGCCTGCAGAGGTGTAACCGCAGCCTTATGTCTTATGTGTTGCCATGGCGACCTGCAGACAGGCAGCGCTGAACCGTACCTTTCTCACTTTCTCAGTATAAAGGCGCTTGCACACTTCCAAATTTTTAGGCGAGCAGCGAATTTTCACGGCCTTGAAATGCACATTACTAAATATGATTGGCTCTGACAAAAGTACATTTTCACGCAGCTTTTTGTAGAGCCAATCATATTTAGTAATGTGAGTTTCAAGGCCATGAAAATTCGCTGCTCGCCCAAAATTTTGGAAGTGTGCAAGCGCCTTTAATTTCATGAGTTGGCAATACTGAAAAACTGAGTCAGCCTTTCTTACATGGAAACGGCACTTTATTTGTGAATTCAAATTCTATTTTTATTGTTTTTCTTTAATTAAATAAACTTACTTTTGCAAAAAGTGAATAGAAATGTTCTTTTCTGTTTTGTTAATCTTAACGAATTACTATTTTTCTTTTAATAATTATTACTGTAAGAAAAATTAATAAATTTTTATTCTCTTATCAATGGCTGTTTTCGGCACTCGCCCCGAGTTAACTCCGGGTTAATGGTGATTGGTTAGACCAACAGAATGTTTTTGATGATTGGATAATATTTAACTCGGGGTTAACCTTGGGTGAGTGCCGAAAACAGCCAATAACGATTCTTGATAACGATATAGACATGGTTGACAAATTTCATAGAAATCTGACATATGTCAGCTGATTTTGACAAATTTTGACAGTGATACTGATAAAATATACATTTTTTATACTGCATCTTATTTTAAGTCTTTAAGTGTTTTTTATAAAATATAATCAATTAGATTTTCAACAACTTTTACACCGCATGACATATAATTTACAACTTTTAACAATAATTCGTAAGTTTTAAGTAACAAACAATAACAAGTAACAATCATGATACTTTGTATTAAAACAACAAATAATTCTGATGTTACTTCACGCATATAACGTGAGTAATGAAATTTAATATAATTATATTATTGTTCTTTAATCCTATTAAGGTAAAAGACGTGCGAAAGATTATTTGAGGTTATAAAGAAGGATTAAAGGTTTACCACATTACTGAAATTGAAACAAAGATATAAAGAAAATGGATTTATTTACAAATTGAGATAAATAAAATAATTAAGACTTTCTGACTAATAAAATAGAATTTGTAACTTGATCCGATATAACGAGCATGGAGATATGTGGGCGGACACGCTATTTGATACTTAAAAAATAATAATACAGTAAGTTGAAAATTTTATTTTTATAATAGAGGAGAGTATATTAAATTAAAATATATTTAATTTTGTCTAGAATTATTTTTTCCTGATGAATCATTGGATTATATATATATTTTTTTTTTGCTTAAAAAAAATCATAAGAGTGCAAACTAGTTTTTGAAGGTTATGTCTATATCACAATAATTGCGATTAATTGACCTTCGACACTTTCGTAAATCTCCAATTTAATTCAATTGATAGCATGTGGATCATAGAATGTAAAATGTAAAATAATAAATTAATTTTATTCCATTTTGTAAAGTTAATGCAAAAGGAGAAGAAGTGTTATAGTCCAGACTTTTTTATACAATTTTTACTTTATTTAATGTGTTTTTATTATTTTTTCAGATAAGACTTATCTAATGAGGTATATTTATAGGCGATAGACTATCGTAATCATGATAGAGAATATTAATAGGGATTTGGTTCCTATCAAGGCACATTATTTTCTTTACAATGCCGGTATGTATTATTTCCAATAATTTCTTTTCTTTTAGAAATACTTTCTTTCCTTTAAGGATTAAATTATTTATGTTTTATTGAAATAAATAATTTGTTTTTTACATAGAAAGAATGTTTTCTTTTTAGCTACCGGGTGCATTGTACCATTTTTACCAACTCTCGCAAAGCAATTGGGCTTTTCTGGAATTCTCGTGGGCACTGTTTACACAATATTGCCAATCTCCGGACTAATTGCAAAACCATTATTTGGAAGTCTTGCTGACAAGTACAAACTTCATAAATCGTTTTTTCTCTTTTTCCAAGCTTTCTTGACTATAAGCTTTTTTACAATGCACTTTATACCTGAAGTTGTGACGAGTGCAGACACTAGATTAAAATGTGATAATTCCGAAGCTTTCCTTGAACTTTGTCCGGAGAAATTATTTTCACAGGATGTTCTCAATAATGTTATCAGCTCGAACAAATCCGAAGGCGACTGTCAAGTAATTATTTTAATCATATTCTTAATTTGCTTTTTATTCTATATATTCTTTTCCTATTTATATCTTTTTTTCTTGTTTCTAGATAAGCTGTCAGAGTCTTTCGATAATTAACGACACTGTCTGTACTCATTGGCATCTTTGTAATCCCGATGGAATTCCTTTTAATTTCACTGCCCATTATGATATATATCACAATTTACCGGTACAAAATATTAAATTATTACAAAATTTTACTATTTAAATCGAAAGTGTTTTTAAATTTTCGAAAAAAATCTCATTGTAGTTGAAACATTGCGTTAATGTAAAAGTTGAGAAGGCAATATTTTCGGATGGTCAATCAACAAGACGACTCTGTGAGTCTCGAGTTTCGACACCATGCAGAATTTCCTGTTCGAAACATCCTCCGATGGATAATTTGATACGTCAGACGAAAAATTCCACCAGCTTTTCACAAACTTCGACATATCAGTTTAATTTATTTTTGTGGGCATCTATCACTAGTTGGATTGGAATGGCTGTGGTCGTTAGTTTAGGAGATGCCATTTGCTTTAATCTTCTTGGTAAGTTTTTTTAGAAACTATTTTATTTAAGGAGAAAAGAAGAAGAAAGAAAAGGAATTTTGAAACTTTTGGAATTTAAAAAAAGAAATTTTAAATATAAAATAGGTAATTGTAAAGAATTATTGTTTTGAAATGAAATTTAAATTTCAGGTGAAGACAAACGGAAAGAATATGGTAAACAGAAAATGTGGGGCAGCATTGGTTTTGGAATATTTGGAATAAGCGCCGGATACTTAGTAGACGTTTTTAGTCGAGACGAGACTAATAAGGATTACACTTGCATTTTTTACATTATGCTCGTTGCGATGATATTTGACATGATTGTCTCGGCGACACTGACAAAAGTACTAATTTAACTTTATCGATTTTTAATTTTCAAATTTTTTCAATTTTCAATTTCTTTCCAATTTCTTTTTAATTTCTTTAAGTACTTTTAAGTTCCTTTCAATTATTTTAAATTTCTTTTCAATTGTTAAAAATTTCTTTTCGATTATGTATTTTCAATTTATTTTCAATAACTTCCAATGCTTTTTGAATTTCTTTTTTAAATTTGCAATTTAGTTTCTTATTTCCAAGCTTAATTCTTTTTTCTTATTAAAAATGTCATCAGAGAAGTCTGGATCCTGGAGAGAGTGAACCATCCGTACTGTGGGAATTATGGTCCCTGATGAGAGAAGGAAGAATTCTTGTTTTTGCCTTCTGGTGTATCGGCTCGGGAATGTGTACTGGAGTTGTCTGGAATTTTCTTCTATGGTACACTGAGGAATTGGTACCAGCCGATGCAATTTGGCTGAAAACTTTACAGGGACTCGTTATTGGAGTTGAAAATTTCCTCGGCGAATTGCCATTTAATTTTATATCGGGCACTGTCTTAAGAAAATTGGGTCACATCAACGTTATGAGCCTTGTTTTACTCGTTTACGCCATCAGGTTAGATGAAAATAAAATTAGAAAACTAGGGAAAATTAGGATTAGAAAAAGAGGAAAAACTAAAATCAGGAATTAGGAAAAAAGAAAAACTGAAATTAGAAATTAGAAGAAGAGGAAAAACTAAAATTAGAAATTAGGAAAAAAGAAAAGACTGTACAGTTAGAAATTAGAAAAAGAGGAAAAAACAAAATTTGAAAGAAGGAAAAATTTAAATTTGAAGAAATGAAAATGAAAATTAGAAAAATGGAAAAATTATAATTGGAGAAAAGGGTTAAATTAAAATTAGAAAATAAAAGAAAAATTTCCCTTAATTTTAAAAATTGTATTAAAAATAATAGAGAGTGAATTTTTTTTTCCGTAGATTTATGGCCTACAGTATAACCACAAATGCCTGGTGGATTATTCTTCTAGAAGTACTTCACGGACCATCCACTGGACTTTGCTGGCCGGCAATGGTTTCTTATGGTGACAAAGTTGCTCCTTCGGGGACAAAGGCAACAATTCAGGGAGTAGTTGGAGCAATATTCGAAGGCGTTGGTAAAAAAATTATTTAATTTCTAGGGGAGAGTTGTCAGGGTTGGACATAGTTTTAACTTTTCTTCATAACTTCCCCTGTAGGACGAATTTCACGATTTTGCAATTTAAAAAAAAAGTTTCCAGGATTGAACATGGTTGTCAGAGTTGAGCCACTGTAGAAAAAAAATGAAATATGTAGGTAAATAATTAAAAATTACCTTCAAATGATAGAGTGACACTAAGGAAATGAGGATAGGATCCAAGAAATCTTTGGCAAATTTCTTCTACATTTAGTTCTCTTTTTTTGACACCGCAAAAAAGCCTTCGTTAAGCCTAAATTACAAAGTCGCACAATACACAAGTATACGTTCGTATACTTCACTGTGACTTATGTAAAAATCTTGCTGACAGTAGTAGCAAGAATTTACGTACAAAGACAGATGGCGCTAGTGTGATAAAACGAAATAAACTCGGTGCTCAAACCTAAACACTGACCGACCCTGACATCTCTCCCCTATACTTGCGGAAAAATTATTATGTACAGTAGAATCTCCCATAAGTTAATTTTCCCCTATCGTTTACCCCTTCCACCTAAAAAAATAAACATGCGCATAGTGGTATCAAGATGGCTGACACATCATACCCTCAAAAGACTTGAAACCTTATATATTTTGAAATTGTCCGCCAGGCGCAATAGGTCACTGCGCACTAATTTCTCCTTAAGGCGCTCTCACAGCTAGTAGGCAGCATATAAATTTGAATTTACTGTCTCTTTCACTCTAATTGATTTTCTCTCTTACTCCAATTACTGCCTGCGCAGGCAGGCAGAGCTGTGAGAGCTCCATTACACGGCAAATCTCTCTTAAGGCCTTTCTCCAATAGGTTTTAAAAAGTGTGCGAAGGACTGCGTCTGCGTCGGTTGCTATAGCAACACATGCTAAAATCAACGCAACGCAGTCATTCGCACACTTTTAAAACCTATTGGAGAAAGGCCTTTAGGGTACAGTCACACGATCAATGCATCTGCATGATGCATGCATGCACAAACATTTGACTGTTCACACCTCAATTTTTCGCTCTCGAAAATCATTTTTCTGGCGGGATATTTAAAATTGATTAAAATTTAAAAATAACGTATTACTAATTATTACAATAAAAAATAAAAAAAATTGAACGTTTATTATAAGGAATTAATTGTAAATAAATTTCTCTTAATTTGTGGCATATTTTAATATTGTGAATTTTTATAATTTAAAATATGCCACTAATTAAGAGAAATTTATTTACAATTAATTCCTTATAATAAACGTTCAATTTTTTTTATTTTTTATTGTAATAATTAGTAATACGTTATTTTTAAATTTTAATCAATTTTAAATATCCCGCCAGAAAAATGATTTTTCGAGAGCGAAAAATTGAGGTGTGAACAGTCAAATGTTTGTGCATGCATGCATCATGCAGATGCATTGATCGTATGACTGTACCCTTATGTTAACCCCTCACCAAAATTAACTTATGGGAGATTCGACTGTATTTAATAATTTTTTATTTCTTTACTAATAATTTAATTATTAATTTGTTTATTTTTCAATTACACAGGCACACAAAAAAAAATTTCGTGACCCAGAGGACAAAATCTTATATTCCTACGTTTTAGGGGTCGCTGAAAGCTGAAACCGAATATGACCATGAAAAAATTTTGTACTTGCCCATTTTCCCGCTACCACCCCCTTTACACCCCCCACACGAGAGTGAGGGGGTTAGCATTTCAGTTTTCAAAAAAAGTCGTGTATGTTGTCTATTCCTATGTTTTTTGGGTCGCTGAAACCGAAAAAGACCACCAAAAACAAATTTGTCCCTCCCTTTACCCCCCAGAACGCCCTAACTACACCCTTGGAGGGAGTTAAAATTTTTTCATGGTCATATTCGGTTTCAGCGACCCCTAAAACGTATGAATATAAGGTTCTGTCCTCTGGGTCACGAAATTTTTTTTTTGTGTGCCTGTGTTATTAATAAATAATAAACTAGCAACAATTCGCGCGCGGCTGCCTTCTCGCTCGCTTTTTTAAATAAAATTAGCAATTTTAAAAATAATAGAACGTAAAAATTTTTTATTCAAATTTTGTTTTATAAAAATAAAATATGAATTGGAATATATAGTTTTAATATTATTATAATTATAACAATCATATATTCTGACATAGGGAACTCAGGGAAAATTATTATTGTTATAAACAGTTTAACAATATATTTTTAACTTTTTTATAAACATTTTTTTCATTTTGCTTCCTCATAAAGGAAGCTTTGTATTAGCAAAATTTTGGATTGTCATTTTTTGACATATTTATAAATTTTTTTTTATTATGCCTAATACTTTAGTACTTTATATATGCACAGGAACTCCCCGTATAAATGTTCTAAATAAATAAAAAAAATTTCGACGTATTTTGACCTCCGAAGTACAAAAAACGGATTTTAAAAATTTGTCCCGATGTGTGTGTGTGTGTGTGTGTGTGTGTACTAACATTACATTTGCCTCAATATCTCAGAACGAGAAAGAGCTAAAGGCCTCAATTTTTTTTAAATTGTAGGTCTCCCCGGGGGACATAAAATGAGAGTATTTTCAGCCAGATTCATGAAGTTTAACTATTTTTTTTTTGCATTTTTCATTTTGTAAAAAAAAGTTTTTTGGACATAACTTAAAAAAATGTTAGGACACCTATTAATGTTTTTCCATAATTTTGTAGAGTTTCTTTAGACGCATCTTTTGAGCCCTAATTGAACATTTTTCGTCCATATTAACCGGAGATATTAAACTTTTAAAAATTCAAAATTTTGGAAAATAAGACTTTCTTGAAAATTTTGTTGAAAAATGTAGAACTTTAGTTTTGTTTTGTATTTAGTTTTGTAGAGTTTTTTCAGACGCATCTTTTTAGCCCTAATTGAATATTTTTTGTCCATATTAACCGGAGATATTAAACTTTTAAAAATCTAAAATTTTGAAAAATAAGACTTTTATAAAATTTTTTTAAATTATGTAAATGTAACTTTAAAAAATTATTACTAAGTTGAAGAGCATTAAAAAACACTTCGATTGACCTATTTTAGAACCTGATTGGGGCAGAAATTATGAAATTATTGGTATTTGAAAAATCAAGAATTGTGGAAAATATCATTTTTTCAACATTCTTATTTATTAACTTATGTGTAATTATTAAACTATTATTACCATCTTACAGAATATATAAAAACACATTTTTTGGACCAAGATTTAATGATTTTTAACCCTTTTATAAAAAGTAATTCTTATATTTCAATTATTATTATTTTTATGAGGAAGCAAAGTGTTCATGAAATGAACACCAAAATTATAAAAATGTACAACTTGGCAGCGGTTTTTATTTAATGCCCATGGGCACAGGAACGCAGATATAAAAAAAGTAGCTATTATGGGATCCTGGCATGGGGTCTAATGATAATTTTTGACATTAAAAATTTTGTTTAAAAAAAGTTTTTTAAACAATTTGTTATAAACAAAGAAAGAAAAATTTATTTTCATAAAAAACTGATAGCGCCATTTCATTCTACGCAAAAAACTACTACGAGAACGTATATTACATAATTTTGAAAAAAAGAGTGGTTTGTCGCGTAGAATCGAATAGCGCTATAAGTTTTTTATGAAAATCAATTTTTCTTTATTTGTTTATAACAAATTGTTAAAAAAAATTTTTTTTAATTCAACGTCAAAAATTATCATTATAGAGAAGAACGCGATTTTAGAAAAATATGTTATTAATTTTTGTATTTTTATAGTTTTCCTTTATTTACATGACAAATAATCTTATTTTAAAAATATTTTAATAAACTTTAAAGAGCTTTTAGCAAGGAAAATTGAATATTATGTTAAGTTTACCTGTTTTCGATTTGCACTACCAAGTTTTTGTACCTTTTTAGGGTTCGGTACACCTACGGTGTAACGGCGGAACCCTATTGGTGAGACTCTGTTGTCCGTAGCCAAATCGTGTCCCCCTCCCCCCCTAGCAACTAAACTATTTGACCTAAAGAGCTCAAATTTGGTCCAGATATGTATTTTCACTCGTAGATTACAGGAAAAATATAGCGAATGTGATTGGACGTGATGGTCATAGCGTTGTCAAGGAAATAACAAGATTTTTGGCCAAAAATGCATAAAAAGTGACCATTCCCCCCCCCCTAACTTCTAAACTATTCGACATGGAGAGCTGAAATTTTGCATGCTGGTGTATTTTTACTCGAATATTACAGGAAAAATATAGAGAACTTGATATGAAATGATGGCCATAGCGTTGTCAAGGAAAAACTAAAAAAATTATTAAAAAAAATTTTTTTTCTCTAACTTTTACATTATTTGACCTAATGAGCTGGAAATTGGTATCCTAGTGTATTATTACAGTCTGACGACAAAAAAATTATTTAAGAAACTTTTTGAAAAAAAAATCAAAAAAATTTTTTTTTAATTTTTTTTTCAAAAAAAAAAAATTTTTTTTAATTTTTTTTAGTTTAAACACGTGGCATTAAATATTTTAAGGAAGAGAGTGAAATTTTAAGAGATTAAATGAGAGATTGTTTTCTGACTTTAATTTCTTAACTAAAAAAAAAAAAAATTGGACAAGTGCGAGTTGTACTCGCACTGCAATGGCGGGTTCCGTACACAAATATTGAAACAATACTTGCAACATTTATCGGTAATTGATAGAATTAAAATAAACAATTAAAAAAATATATTAAAATCATTTGATAAAAAAAATAACTAAAAAAAATTAAAGTATTGTATATCTAATATTGTAAACAATAATAAGCAGAGGAACAAAATTTTCAAAATTATAGTTCCTCTGCTTATTATTGTTTACAATATTAGATATATACAATACTTTAATTTTTTTTAGTTATTTCTTCTTATCAAATGATTTTAATATATTTTTTTAATTGTTTATTTTAATTCTATCAATTACCGATAAATGTTGCAAGTATTGTTTAAATAT